CCCCTTGGGCAAGCCATACATAGGAAAATCCAGTATAAAAGAGTAATAGTCTAACATTAGACACCCAGTTAACTTTACCAATATCATCTTGTGATTTCAAAGAAAGATAACACTGTTTTGGGTACCTTAAGTAATGCATTTTTACCAACTTTAACCAATATGTAACTGCTCTTATTACATCTACCAGTTTCTCCGTATATAGCCTTATTAGAAGCAAATTTACCTAGATTTAGAAATTGTTTTAAAAATGTAGTTTGTACCTTTTCTATACAATGAAAATAAGTCATACCCCAAAGTTCTGATCCATATAAAAGAATAGGCATTATTTTACAATCAAAGATGGTACAAGCATTTTTGAAAGAAATAAAAGAGTTAGTTTTGAATAAATTATAAACAGAGTAGGCTGCCTTGGATGCTTATGTTGCCAAACTTTTACACGCTGTTGACCAATTTAATCTTGAGGAAAATATCAAACCCAGGTATTTATAATATGAAGCTCATTTAAGTTTTACATTTCCATAGTACCATTTTTCTTTCTTTTTGTAAAACACCGCCATTTCTAAAAAACAATAACATTTGGTTTTTTAAAATTCACACTTAAACCCCATCTCGTGCAAAATTCATGGAGAACATTTAACTGTTGCTGAAGACCAATAATAGTATAAGAGAACATATTAACATCATCTGCAAATAATAACATCATAATATCATCCATATCTGGAGATATAAAAACACCATGTTTACAATTATTATGAATTTCTATGGCAAGTTCGTTAATGAAAAGAATAAATAGAAGCGGACTTAACATGCATCCTTGCCGTACACCTGAACTAGTGAAGAACATATCAGTTTTGCAATTTCCAATTTTTACACAAGATCTAACAGATAAATACATATTATGCAGAAGATTGTACATTTTTCCATGACAACCTGATTTTAACAACATATATACAAGTTTTGAACGATCTACATAATCGAAAGCCTTTCTACAATCAACAAAGGCACACAAAAATCGTCCCTTTGGTCTTGAAAGATATTTAGAACAGAGAGTTTGCAGAGTAAATATATTGTCCACTGTGGAATAGCCGGGTCTGAAGCCAGCTTGAGCTACTGTTAATATATTATTCAGATCAGTCCATGCACGAAGACGTTTATCTAGGATGGATGTGAATATTTTTCCTGATTCCTGAGCGTAGGACTCGTAATCCAGCGACGCGAGTTCGAGACGGGGTATCGGCGGAAACTTTTGCAAGTGAAACAAGTACCGTCGTTGCTAAGTTAAACAAGATGGTCGTCCAGCCTAGTAACGCCGGGATCAGTCTTCTCTTCGTTGCTAAGCTAAACAAAGCTGGCCGTCCAATCTAGTAACGCATGGTCTGCCTTACCATTCGTGACCAACTCGTGTTATTCCGGAACAAGCCGAATAGCGACTCGTGCCCCTCTGGAAGGATTTGATATTGGCGTAGGAACATCAGAACTACTTCAAACAGGAACGATAACTCTATTCCTGTTTGATCCCAACGGCACTTAATATCACCGAAGTACTCATATATTGTATTGCTGTTTTTGTTTTTGCTATTTATTCTAAAGAATTAAACCTCCTTGGTACAACTAAAAGAAAGTAAAAAACATATTTGTTAAAGACATATTCTGACGTAATTATTACCAGATCTTCACCTTATATTTCCAATTATATTTCTGAAAATGGTTCAATAATCACAAATGGGATTTGTTTTATTGAATATGCAAATCAAATTTGTAAAAAACGGCCGCTACATTAAATCCCAAAGCAGAAACTGGTTACGGAAAGGGGCGAGTGGTGACGAATTCTGCCTTACCCGTCGTTGCTAAGCCAAACAAAGATGGCCGTCCAGCCCATTCCATTCGTCACCACTCGCCCCTTTCCGTAACCTCCATCGCTATTCGGCTTGTCCCGGAATAACACGAGTTGGTCACGAATGGAATGGGCGTTACTAGGCTGGACGACCATCGTCTTTAATTTAGCAACGACAGTGCTTGTTTCACTTGCAAAAGTTTCCGCCGACACCCCGTCGCTTGATTACGAGTCCTACGCTCTACTATCACACCACCGGGACTCCCGAACAGTCAATATTCGTAACTTTGGATCTAGGCTGGAGGTACATCGAAGGATGCCTCACGATAGACCATCGCCGTTTTTAAGGGGGGCTGGGGAACTTATTTCATAAAAATAAGCCTCTAAGCCGCATGTGTGGCAAAATCCCCCCTCTATTACTACTCTTAGATATAAACACCATTCTGCACTATTCTTTGTCTGCCACAAACTATAAATGAAAATATTTTTAGTCCATTCATTGTACGTAGTAAGCGAGTGAGTAAATACATTTAGCAATATTCCAGCAATATCACGGCGGGGGACACCAGAAATGGGCTTCACACATTCTACCCATGTGGGGAATCGAACCCGGGTCTTCGGCGTGACGAGCGAACGCTTTAACCACTCGGCTACCCCACCGCCCCGTACGTAATAAGCGTTCAGTTAATGTGTTACATGTCTTGCCCCTGGTCATTGTCCATTACACGTATTTTTCCCATGTAACTGTCGGGAGCGGGCTTTAATAAGTTAATAACTTGTGCCCAATCCCTTTCAACACTTAATAAAATATGTTCAAACAAACAATGACTGTATATAGTTTTAGACAACGGAAGATCGAAGAATACAAACGCTATGATCTAAGAAGGCTTATTCCTGCGGAATATTCATTCAGCGGATGAAGCCATTAGTACTGATTTGATTGGCTAATCTGTTCGGTTTATAGGAAGGTCGGTTAGTTTATTGATTGTCAACACGAACACCTTCGCTTTAAGCCTTTGCTTTAATGCAGTATTTGCGATCAGATCCGGGTGTTGGATCTACAACATGACGAACGAAGAAGGACGTTTCAAACTTGTACAATTCCGCCAGAGCTGGTAGTCTCTATGTTCAGTACGTCTCGCACTGTGATTTCAAAACTTTGGGGCAGGTTTCTTCACATTCGCGACTACTCGTGTCATTCCGGCAAGCCTGATGGCGACGCGTACACGTCTCGTGGCCATGTTCACGACTTGGCCTTGTCTAAGGCACGGAGACGAAAATAATCTAGGACTATTTCCAAGGAAAGATAACTCTGAATTTCCAAACATGGCTACTTCTAGAAATTTATGATACAACACGAAAGTCACTTTAAGTAAGTTTCTTATGTCGTTAACAAGTATCAGTAACAAGATAATTTCATAATCACGGAAAATAATAACGAAAATCGATAATCGAACAGAAACTATTTGACTCATTTCACATTTTACTACGCGCGATTTGATTGGTTTGCCACGGTTCTTGGCAATAATAGCGGACTGTGCGAGTCTTCTTCTTCTTTCTACGGAAAGTGGCGAGTAGTTATGAATGGTTTCTTCAGACACAAACAGTGCGCCCAAAGGCAACAACACAAGCCAGGTCGACTAAATTAGAATCAAGGCTTTATGAAATCGGGTTTAATCAGCAAGTACTTGTTGTACAACCGTTAATAGATCTTCATATCGTATTCAGACGCCCCTTGAGTGTACAGCGTAGAAACTGGAGAAACTCCCTGTGGTCTCATGTTGTGATTTCTTTCTGGACATTCATTTAGGCGCGGAACCCGTGAGGATCCCTTCACGGGATATTGTCCCTTCTATGGATTCATGCTTTATTGTATTTATAATAACTCTTATCGAAATCGGACCCGAAAAAGATCCGGGTTAAAATTGGTCTTCAGTAGCCCATGCTTCTGATTTGATTGGCTAATCTGTTCGGTTTATAGGAAGGTCGGTTAGTTTATTGATTGTCAACACGAACACCTTCGCTTTAAGCCTTTGCTTTAATGCAGTATTTGCGATCAGATCCGGGTGTTGGATCTACAACGAGACGACTAACGGGATCGGGTGGTCAGGCTCGCTGACTTGGTTGACACATGACATCATATCCCGATTGATTGGGTTGATTAATGCTCATGCTGTTGATCACAGGATTGTCTGGCCCAGAATCGTTTATTTACAGACCACCGTCATTTTGCTGGAATATTGCTGAGTGCGGCGTAAAACTAACTCACTCACTCTATTTCCTTCGTATCCAGCCATAACCACACTCTTTGTATTTCCGTCATCTGGTTTTTCCAATATCCACTTCTTTATTTTGAGATAACATATCAACCATAAGTATGGGGAAATCACTCGACTATTGATTTTCAAGTAACATTAACTAGCCTCAGGGGCAGATTCAAACAGTCTCTCCTTCACATTCTAAACAAACAGCCGTCAACAGACTAAAATATTTTAAATCGATGCTGCACGAAGCCTAAGCTTAAATCTGACACATAAATTGCTGAGTTGAAACATTCTCGACATATGTCCTCTTAATAATTTTTTAAAATCTATTTTTTAAATTTCTTAAAAGGTTCACGGAGAGGATGTTTTTCTTTATTTCCGCCTATGAGGAATCTAAGCTTTCGTAAGCAAACGTAATAACATACAATCGTTGATAGGTTCTTGTTTACCAGTGGGCCATACGGATGACGCTGTTAGTTTATATTCAAACCACCCATACAAAACCTACATCTGTAGCCATTAACAGTACAGTGTGACTGTCGCGGGTAATGCGATGCCAACAGCATTATCTACGTGTCTCAGACACTTTTCCAAGCTTCACGGAATCAATAGCATACTGCTGCAGGCTTACATTCAATCCTTGTGTTGAGTTATAGCTGGAGGCGGAAGGTCGTCATAATGTGTGTAATTGAAGAGAAATAACCATCATATCAATTAATAATAAGTCTTAGGACATAACAAGTAGCATCCTGAAAGCGTAGACGTGGACTACATGCCACTATTTCATACTTTGCCCTTTATCATGAATCCTATGAGCGGTCAGAAGATATACTGAGGGAAACAAATACGGGAACACCTGTTCATGGCGGCGTTTCTGTTTATTCTCAGATTTCAACCTCAGTACAATACAAATCTTGCGCGTATACCTGGAAAAAATATATAAACACTTGTTATCTCATGTGTTCACTTATTTGTTTCACTGGGTATACATTATTTTGAAATATAGTCAACGGTAGGCAATTAATGTAAAATGTTCTGGAAAAAATGTTACCAATAGAGGTCATTATTTGCATCTGAAATAAACAACTCATAATACAGAACAAATACCAAAGAACAACCTTCAAGAAAATGTCCCATCTGAAAAAAGAACCATGTGCATAAGAGAATGTCAGTGACATGTAAAACCACACACACACACACGCATGCACGCACGCACGCACGCGCACGCGCGCACACACACACCCTCAGTAAGGCATGTTGGTAACATGAAGCAAGGCATGTAGTCATTCCACAAACGACATCCTTACCTTGTCAGCCTGCAGCCAGGTATAATCTCTTAGGTCATGTGGACAAGTGTTCCGTTTACGGATGACAAGGTCTGTGGATCGAATCCATCATGGAAATTTGTATGGCTGCTACGTATGATTCAGAGTTTCCATATTTGTCAGATTTCTAAGACTGGTATAAACATCAGCAAAATATTCATCAAATATTCTTGTTTTCAGGTGATAAAACGCTCAATATATAATCGAATGGCATAATTACATGATGCATCTCGGTGTTTCTTGCGCCTTGCATGCATTTATAACCAGCACAGCGGAACGGGTCGATTAAAACTCGGCATACTGTGTTAATTGCAGCGTCAATGTTTTAACAGAATGACGCCCATATTAGTCACTGTATCTAAAAGGGCGACAGTTGTCAGGGCAAGTAGCGGGCAAACTGGCAACTTTATCTGTTTTGTTTAGCTTGTGAGTGAGTGACTATGGTTGAACTCCGCTTTGAACAATATTTTATCATCCAAAACTGTGTTCCACAGGAGATATCGCTTGTGTGAGATCAAACGATATCTCCTAGGAGATATCATTTTGACAGAAGATTTTGTACAATGCCCTGACAATGCTATGACGTCATGTACTTGATGACGTCACAATGCTATGACATCGCTGCACTGCAAGTGTAATGGCAGTACCGTGTTGAGAGATGTACATATTTCATTGAAAATTAATGAAAAGTGATTTTGGGATGATAAATAGAATTTCACCCTCGTGTCTTCTGATATCAAATATATCAACACTCGTTGAGAAAAAGTTAAAATATCCTCGGCAAGCCTCGGATATTTGCAACTTTATCAACTCGTGTTGATATAATTGATATCAGAACACACTTGGGTGAGATTCTATATCTATTACATCAACCAGAGTTATGCAGATTTTAGATATTTACAAGTGGCGTGGAGCAAACAAGCCAGGTTATATAATGAAATAAATCTGAGATTCGAACCATTGAACTAATGACACATAGACAATGTGTCAGAACAGCACAAGTCAGTAATGACGCACAGACAATGTGTCAGAAGAGCACAAGTCAGTAATGACACACAGACAATGTGTCAGAAGAACACAAGTCAGTAATGACACACAGACAATGTTTCAGAACAGCACAAGTCACCAATGACACAAAGACAATGTGTAAGAACAGCACAAGTCAGTAATGACACACAGACAATGTGTCAGAATAACACAAGTCAGTAATGACACACAGACAATGGGTCAGAACAGCACAAGTCAGTAATGACACACAGACAATGTTTGAGAACAACACAAGTCAGTAATGACAAACAGACAATGTGTAAGAACAGCACCAGTCAGTAATGACACACAGGCAATGTGTCAGAAGAACACAAGCCAGTAATGACACACAGACAGTGTTTGAAACAGCACAAGTCATTAATGACACACAGACAATGTGTCAGAACAGCACAAACCTTTAATGACACACAGACAATGTGTCAGAATAACACCAGTCAGTAATGACACAAAGGCAATTTTTGAGAACAAAACAAGTCAATAATGACACACAGACAATGTCTGAGAACAACACCAGTCAGCAACGACACACAGACAATGTTTGAGAACAACACCAGTCAATAATGACACACAGACAATGTTTGAGAACAACACCAGTCAGTAATGACACACAGACAATATGTCAGAATAACACAAGTCAGTAATGACACACAGACAATGTGTAATAACAACACAAGTCAGTAATGACACACAGACAATGTGTCAGAATAACACAAGTCAGTAATGACACACAGACAATGTGTCAGAATAACACAAGTCAGTAATGACACACAGACAATGGGTCAGAACAGCACAAGTCAGTAATGACACACAGACAATGTTTGAGAACAACACAAGTCAGTAATGACAAACAGACAATGTGTCAGAATAACACAAGTCAGTAATGACACACAGACAATGTGTCAGAATAACACAAGTCAGTAATGACACACAGACAATGTGTCAGAACAGCACAAGTCAGTACTGACACACAAACAATGTGTCAGAGTAACAAAAGGCAGTAATGACACAAAGACAATGTCTCAGTTCGTTT